TCTCTCCCAGTAACCGCTGTCTTATGTTTAACTTCTGGTCTCTTTCAATTCTTGCCAATATCTGCCTTCCTGCTTGGGCTTTCCTGGCCTCTGTCAAACAGTTTCTCTCCGCTTCTAGGTGCTTCTTGTTTTTCCATCACTGCTTCTCCCCTTGTCCATCTGTGTCCGGGTCTCTTTATTGTTCCCGGTCTCTGGCTTGGTTCGGCTTCTCCTTGCCTTCTCCTCTGAGGCTCCTATGCTTCCTCCCACCTCCTGGTGTATCTCTCTCCCTGTGTCCCTCCCTCCATCCCTTTTTCCATTTGTGTTTTCTCTTTTATCTCTTAGCCTTTTTCTGCTCTTAAGGACCAAATCTTCCAGTCCTGATCCGAGTGGAATTTGTGTCTGGCCTCAAAGAAGTTCCTGAAGTTACCAAAGTGGTGGAGGGGCAGGGTAGTGGGGCACCTTTCCCCTCCTTAAACCCCCCCCCCCCGCTTCTGTACCAGCCTGCCCCTGTGGAGGGGTCTCTGGCTCGCAGGGGTCTCTGGGAGATTTCTCCCAGCAGCACCCACACTTCTGCACCTTGGTGTTTCCTGGGCCCTGACCTTGCCCGGTTCCACTGTACCAGCATCCAAAGCCTGGGGTATCTCCACTCCCAAACATGCCTCCCGGGTCTGGGCCCCCACAGAGGTTTGCCCCTTAAGGGAGATGGAAAGGAGTGGGTTGAGGGGAGGAGGGCGTCCTGGAGAGGGAAATGAGGGTGTAAAGAGGACAGGGCATGCAACAGGGGTAGACAGGCAGGGGGGAACACTGAAGAGGTGAAGGAGCCGGGCAGCACCAGTTCTTCTTGGCAAGGGCAGGGGCTGGCACTGGATTCCTCTGGCTCTCTGGTATGCATCTGACACACATCTAGGGTTTCCAAACAAAATGCCCAGTTAAATTTGCATTTCAGATAGACAACAACCATTTTTTAAAAAAGATATAAATATATCATATATCCCATGCAATATATGGAGCATACTTATATTAAAATTTGTTTTGCATTTATCTGAAATGCAAATATAAGTAGGTATCCTGTATTTTTTTTAAAGATTTATTTATTTATGCATACAGGCCAGAGGCGCAGGGACAGTGAGAGGCTTCACCAGAGACAGAGTGGGAAGCAGAACAGGCAAATTGACGAAGTACACTGCTGAGGGGAGCAGCAAGCGAGTCAGGAGAGGTCTGCTGTGCCATGTGGGTCACCTCCGGGGCGGGGATCAAACTCATGCTGAAGTGGCTTTAGCTTCTTAGTGCTGTGCTTTACCCCGCTGCGCCAGCAGGGAGGGCCTGGTATCCTGTGTTTTTAAGTTAAATCTTGTATTCATATCCCTAAAGCCTCACAGGAACAGATATTTGAGAAGAATCACACACACACACACACACACCACATCTCCCCAGTGGGGGAGTAAGACTCATGAGTCAGTCAGGGCCTTTGTAACCTACCTCTGGCTCCTCAGTTTTTCTCCTGATATCAAACTGGCCTTCTGTTTCCCCTTCTGCAGATGGGGTTAATGTGAGAGGCCCTGTGGCCAGAATGCCTCAGTCCATTATGGATTGGGGGCCCCTGTATTCTCAGTGGGTGTGGTCAGGAGAGAGTGGGGGTACATTGGAGTCCCAGACTCCAGTGGAGGGGTTTGCTCTTGTCAAGTCAAGAGATGCCTGGAAGGCAACACCTTCTATTCAGCACCTAACCCAGCCCTGGGCTGGAGCGCGCATACTCAGGCGAGCTCGGGCAGGCAGCAACCAGGCTCCGGGGGGCCAGAGGCCTCACGCAGTCTATGTGCCCTTCTAGATTCCACTCCAGATTCCATCTGGGGTTTCCCAAGAGCAGCAGAGTCGAAATGTCCTCATCCTCACTCACCGCCTCCCCAGCCATTCACTAAAGAAGGAGCTAATTGTCTCTGATCCTGCCAGGGCCCAGCTGCAAGGGCCAGGGAGGTCAGCTGTCCACCCGCCCCTATTCAGAGAGGGAGCCCAGCAGGGTGGGAAGGCCAAGTCACACAGGACGCTGGTGCTGAGTCAGAAGCAGAGCTACACAGGTCTGAAGAACCCACACCCAGAGGCAGCATCACAGGCAGCACTCTGTCAGGTCTGGAGAGGTTCTTGTGGGGGCCCTTAGCCCCCTGGCTCAGCCAGCCCAAGGGGCCAGGCCCGGTTGTGCTCTATTAGCTGCATCAGTCACCCCCATACTGTGTGAGGCACTGATCCCCAGAATGGCTGAGGGCACTGGGCATCTTTCTTTCCAAAGCCCCAATAGCCTGGCTGTGCCTGCAGGAGTATTATGCCATGTTAGTAAGTATGTCACTTAGGGTGTGCTGTGTGACTCTTTATCAAGAAACTAAACTCTGTGCCTCTCTGAACTCATCTATGAAGGGGCAGTGTTTGGATAGCATCATCATATGCTGTCATGAGCAGGAACTAGTGCTTAGCATCTGGCAGTCAATGAATGTTAGCTCTTCGTTCCTCAATAGGAAAGGGGCCCAATGCGAATTCTCTCCATTTCACAGGGTGCAGAGTGAAGTGCCAAAGAATGATGGGTCTTACTGCCCTCTGAAGATTGTGCAGGACCCTCTGGGTGGGCCAGGGGCCAGCTCCAAGTCCTGATCCCACCTTCCCATGTCCTGCTCACTAGCGCCCCCTGCTGTCCACGAAGAGCTCTGATTCCCACCCAAGACCAGGTCCAGAGGGTGGAACTGCCGAGGGTGATGGGTGTTGACCACTCCTCTGGGCAGGTCACTAAGGGCTCATGTGGCGGTCAGAGGTTTGAGCAATTCCCTCCATTCCTGCCTTTGCCCTTCCCCTCTGCTCTGCCTGACCCTTGCCTGCCCTGGCTTCATGGTGGCCCCTCCTGTCCTTCAGGCTGAGAACTCAGGGAGCAGGAAATGTGCTTCTCACAGTTTAGCTCCTCTGGGCTATCACAAACACTCTATAAGTACTCCTGCCTGAGCTCTCTGCTGCTCATGTTGGGGGGGGGGGTCACTCCTGCTCCACCTTCCAGAGCCTCCACCCAAGTAGAGTCCATCTCTGCGAGAACATTGTACCCCCTCCCATGCATCCCCCATCCTGCCCACCTCTGGTCCAAATGTCCAGCCACACTCCTCACCTTTATTCTTCCCTCCTGTCCTCTGAGTGTTCTCTCCTCCCAGAACGCCTGTTCCCAGGTAACTCCCTGAAATAAGTCCAGTCTCACGCATTCCTAAAATCTCAGTTCAAT